ATATATATATATCTCCATATAAGCATATATGCATATATAAATACCATATATGTATATCTTCATTCATTTCTCACAATAATGTACATACCATTATTGTTCCCATTTAAAGCTTAGGAAACTTAGGCACAGGGAAGTTTAGTAACTTATCTGACGTTACACAGATAGTAAGTGAAGAATTGGGATTTGAACCCACGCTTTCCTAACTCTAGAGCCAGACTCCTTAACTGACAGGTTATCCTGTCTCAGAGAGAGTACACACAAACACCAAGGCCCACGTAAGCTTGAAGCTGCTGGGGCCATCTGGTGCCAAGTGAGAGAAGCATCCTACCCCCAAAGGAAGCCTATGTAGGAAAAGGAAAGCTGAAGGGAGAGAGGGAAAGAAGGACAGAGAGAGAGAGAGAGAGAGAGAGAGAATGAGAGACAATATGAGAGAGATGATTATTTTATTGTTTGTGATTATTTTATTTGAATCCTTGGAGAATACAAAGCCAGAAACTAACTGTAGTCTTCCTAATTATACAAGGGCAGAGAGTCTTTTATCATTTATAGTTATGTGTTACTAACCAGAAGGCCAACCCACAAATGTAGACAAAGTTCTTTGTATATAACTACACAAGAACCATAAAATAGTGTATAGGCCTATATCTGGGAAGAATCTCAAAAGAGACCTTGATCCTACCTAAGTGCTATGTATATAATAGTATCTCAGCCAAATCTCCTCAGCTAAAATAAGGTGGGGACGCTTACAACAAAGCAGTTGTCGTGTGGCTAGCCTAAGCTAATGTTAGGTCTGTCCCTGGAGCAACACTTCTATGAAGCAGAATATGTAGTTCTTATATTAAGCCAGGTGCCACAGTGCCTAAAATACCTTCATAAAAAATTTATTAATTATAACTTTTGATAATCTTTTAAAATGCAGAGTGAGTTCTTAGTAAAGATACTAAATTAAAAATGCATGCTTGCAACTTAAGTGCCCATCAAGGGATGAATGGGTAAAGAAATTGTATACACTATATACAACTGAATATTATTCAGTCATAAAAAAAAGAACATCCTGCCACTTGTGACAATGTGGATGGACCTTGAGGGCATTATGCTAAGTGAAATAAGTCAGAGAAAAATACCATATGACCTCACTTACATGTGAAATCTAAAAAAAGATTAAAAAAGAAAAAGAGAAAAAATGAAATTTATAGGTAAAAAGAACAGATTGGTGGTTGCCAGAGCCTGGGGGTAGGGGGTGGGTGAAATGGGTAAAGTGGGTCAAAAGGTACAAACTTCCAGTTATAAAATAAATAAGTCCTGGGGATGTAATAAGTATCATGATGACTATAGTTAATAGTACTGTATTGCATATCTGAAAGTTGCTAAGAGAGTAGATCTTAAAAGTTCTCAGCACAAGAACACAAATTTGTAATTACGTATGGTGTTATGGATGCTAGCTAGACTTATTGGGGTGATCATTTTACAATATATACAAATTATTATGTTATATACCTAATACTAACATAATGTTATGTCAATTACATCTCATTTAAAAAAAAAAAAAGGAAAACACACACTTATGGCATCTCTTTCTCCAAACCTCACTAAAGTGACAGTTTTTCAGTCCTGGTTCTGTTTGTCTTCAGATCCATTTCTTTTTTTTTTTTTAATTAAAAAAATTTTCTTATTTATTTTTGAGACAGAGAATGAGCAGGGGAAGGGCAGAGAGAGAGAGAGGCAAACACAGAATCTGAAACAGGCTCCAGGATCTGAGTTGTCAGCACAGAACCCAATGCAGGGCTTGAACCCACAGACCCTGAGATCATGACCTGAGCTGAAATCCGACACTTAACCAACTGAGCCACCTGGGCGCCCCTCCAGATCTATTTCTTGTTTGTCCTTGTTCTGCTCTGCTTTGTGATGCAAAAAGACTGCCTTTTGCTAGGCTAGGCTTCGTAGGCTTCCATGGTTTAGCAAATAGAAGCACTGGTGGGAGACTGAAGATTGGGGAGAAAGGAGAAAGGAGAGGATTTTTCTCCCTGCCTGCCTGCCTCAGGTAGTGAACTTGGCAATGGCTGAGGCTCCAGCTACTGCTAGACAGATCTACGATGGTTCCAGCTTCCACCCTTGGAAGCTGGCCCTTGGGCTCAGGTAATACCATCACCTCCCTTTCCCTCAGCTTGGGGTAAGAGAATTGATCATTTACAAAGTTAAAAAAAAAAAAAAAAAGAAGAAGGAAAAGAAAAAGAAAAAGAAATCTCTGTAAAGGATGAGTTTGGAATTTTTAGAATCGTATTTTTATTTATTTATTTTTATTTTTTAAAATATTTTTTATTTTATTTCTAGGACAGAGAGAGAGAGACAGCGTGAGCAGGGGAGGGTCAGAGAGAGAGGGAGTCACAGACTGAAACAGGCTCCAGGCTCTGAGCTGGCAGTCAGCAAAGAGCCCGACGCGGGGCTCGAACCCACGAACCGCGAGATCATGACCTAAGCTAAAGTTGGACGCTTAACTGACTAAGCCACCCAGGCGCCCCTAGAATCGTATTTTTAGAATCTATTATTTTTCATCCCACAATGAAAAGAATTAGACAGACATAGAATCCAAAAAGAAAAGATTAAACTCCAAGAAGTAAACATTTAGTTTCCAATCCTTCTGCACATGAGATATCATTGAAAATGAGCCTTTTCCATACTCAGGTTAATTCAGGGTATACCCTTCAAGTAATAATATCCAAGGATAGGCAAAAACAGCTCACAGAAACACTGCGAAGGAAGTGAGGTTTGGCGTGGTGTATGCCATCCCCCACTTTGACAATGCCTACAGCAATTTAGAATCCAGTGCCCTTGATGTCATTAAGGAAAATGACCTGTTAAAATGACCAATGTTGCATGGTTTCACATATTATCTCTTACAGTTTACAGTTTATCTTATTTAGAAATGTAGTCATCTCCTGTACAATATAATAGTGAAGCAATTTAGTCTGTCCTGTCTATTCCCTATCACTTCTGTGTTAGTACCCAGTGAGATAGGCTACCAATCTTTGCATATTCTACTTCTGTTGCAAGGTCAGTTGCATTGGACTTTCAGTTTACCCTAAGACTGTGTCTTTATTCAATATACATTTTATTGTTATGCAGGTCAAATATCATCCCATATTGAATTCCCTTCTTCAGGGCACCTGGAAGAATTATATTTTCCCCTCCCACTGAATTTAGACAAGAGTATATGACTAATTCCAATCAATGAATGTCATTTTCAAAATATCTATGTAACAAAGATGTAAAGCTCCAGTTACTTGGCTCATCCATTTTAAGAAGTATTCTATCCAAACCCAGTACCATGAGATAATATAATTTTTGAAACTTATTGTGAAATTCCTACTAACTCATCAGGCTGAGAGCTCTTTGGGACAGAGCTCACTTGGAACACACATGCACTAGATACTTAATAAGTAAATTAATGAATGATTGTGTGAATGAATGAGTAACCATAATTTCAATATCATGTCTTATTTAAATCATTTTTATGTCTCCTCTGTGCTCATTCGAACACTTCACTAATTTAGGAAATTACTCTTAAAAAAACAATTTATTCCTCAGTGAGGCTAGCAACAATATTCTGGCTTTTCAAAGGTTGGCATACAATCTAAGAAGGAAATCCCAGTGAGTTTTGCTTTCTGTTTCTGAACCCTGTAAAAAGATGGACCAGGGAGTTCATGCAATTTTACATTTGAATGTGATTTGTGGTTTTCTTTCTCTGTTTGGGTTTGGTGACTTGAGGCTGTTATGGACTGAATGTTTGTGCCCCCTCAGATTCATATACTGGACCCTTAACCCCAGTGTGATGGTATTTGGAAATGGGCCCTTTGGGGAGGTAGTTAGGTTTAGGTGATGTCATGAGGTTAGACTAAGTGGAACGCCAATGATGGGGTTAGTGCTCTGATAAGTAGAGGGAGAGACATCAGAGCTGCCTCTCTCCCTCAAGGGAAGATACAGGAAGGAGGTGGCTATTTACAAGTCAGGAAGAGAGCCCTCACCAAGAACCAAATGGACTAGCACTTTGATCTTGGACTTCCAGCCCCAGAACTATAATAAATGTCTACAGTATTTTGTTATAGCTGCCCGAGCTAAGACAGAGGCCAAATTCTCATCTTCTCTCATTTAAAAATGTAATTATTATTTGGATGTCACAGCCTTGCTTTTAGTAGCCAGCTTAGGATTCTGCTGCCTCTTTAGGGAAATTAAGCAACATGTTCATTCAATGATCAGCCTGACTCTTCAAGTATTTTCTAACTTTGGGAGTGAGGGTTCATTCGACCACCATTGTTGGTTGAATGGCACTGTTTGCTACTGAGCTCCAACCTAGGTATGGTGTTCTTGGGTTTGACACAATGCAAATAAATGGAAACTTTCACTAAACTAACAGTTTCTAATTTAAAAACACAGAGAGCTAAGTAATTCAGCCATAGATTTAACTTCTAAAAAAATGCTCTAGATGATAGTAAAACCCCTATGAATTTTTTTCACTTGGCAAATAGATTTAATACATTGCCCTGATTTGTATGTCCCTTTAAGAGCAAATGCATTTTCCTAGAAATATGGCATTTTGCATTGGCAAACAGTTGTAGGAATAAATTCCATAAGAAGTTTACTTGAAATTTTGGAGTCTCACATCAAAATGCCTAATGAAAGTCTGCTGTCATAATTCCCTAAAGTTTAGTTTTTACCTCATTTTGATAAGTTTACCTCGCTTACCAGCTTAGCCACAAATCATATCTAATGGTTGTCATGTGAAGGCAGTAAAATATCATATACCTTATGATGACCTCTATCCAAAAATGCTTTTCCCTGTTCACATTTTATCTGTCAAATAGCATTTTCCTTAAGAAGTAAATATAAATGCCATTATTGGGAGAAGCTACTGGCCTAGGACAAGTTCTAGCATTTAGTGTTCTGACAGATCTTAATTTGGATATCAGCCAAAGTCAATAATACTTGTTCATGCAGAACCTTACCTGGTTTTCACCACATCGAGGGGGTGCATCAGGCAAATTTCTACAAGACCTGAAAGATGATAAAGAAAAGTCCAGTAAACACTTATGTAAACACTGGTTCTTGTTTCCTTGACCCCATTGATTTCTCAAGTATGAAGATTCAAATAAAATTTGGGGCTTTGGAAATAAAGTTAGTAGTTAGAGACTAGTAGCAAAAGCCCAGAGTGTAAGTACTCTGGCATAGCGTGGAGGTGGGGCTGTAGGGGAAAGAAAATGCAAAAGGAATCAGATGTCTGATTCCAATAATCTAGGTGGGAATTATTGTGTAGTCCAAGAAACAAATATATGTCAAAGGAATGGAGAAAAGAAAAGAAAGAAAGAAGGGAGAGATTCTTGCTTTCAGCACTTCTCCCACTGCCACTCGCTAACATGACAAATCATAGCCTCAGTCTCAGCGTGCATGAAATAAAGATAATGATACCTCTTATCTCCCTGGGTAGGCATGAGAATCCAATGCGTATTTAATACATTAATAGCTTAATAGAGATTATATATTAAGTGTTCACTGCATGCTAGACAGTATTCTAAGCAGTGCATAGTTTATCTCATTTAATCTTCATAAGACCTTGCTGGGTAGCAGGTATTATTACTCCCATTTTACAGATGAGATCATTGAGGCATATAAAGTTAATAACTCATCTAAGATCTCACAGCTAAGAAGTATGTGGTAACCTCATAAAAAGCTCATAACCAATGCACACTTAGAAGTTCTATACCTTCTTGCAAATCACTTGTAAAGCTCTCCTGTTGTCTAACTGAGTGGAGAAGACTGCTCAATTACGAACTAGTGGCACATAACAACAGTAACACTAAAAGTAGTATTATATACTAGCAGTAGTAAAAATAATGACAACAGTAGTTATAGTATTGTAGTAGTAATAATCATAACGTTACCTTACTTGCAGACTCTACATAGTGATGGCCATTTAACACACAGTATCACTGACACACAATTACTAAGCAAGGTGAGTATGTACTATCATCACCTTTACTTGAAGATAAGCAAACAGAGGTTGATATTGTTGGTTGATTTGCCCAAAAGCCATAGTATTTGTGGGTGGTTTCTTAAGAGCAGACCACTTACCACTCTTTCCATTTGCAAAGTAACTCAGTTTGAGCTTAGCTGTGATTTAGTTCACTTTCCCCACTCCATATTTATATATACAAATGTCTTTTACCCCCTATACTGGTAAGGTCCAGGCAAAGTTCTACACTTACTTGAAGTTTGCTTTCCTTCCATAGACGTCTATACAGTTTACAAAGACTTTTGCCTATGTATTGACCCAAAACAACTATCTTACTTTAGCTAAAACTAATAGGATTCAATATTAATGCCTGTACCACAGGTTTCCCAGAAGGAATGCTCTTTAGTGGTTGGTAACCAAATCACTGACCCAGTCAGTCTCATTGCCTAGAGATGGGAGGAGAGAGACGTAAGGCATCAGAGGCAACATAATCACTAGGCGCAATGGCAAAGCCACTGAGCACTTAACTTCAGAATAAGATCTGTTACTCAGAATTGCGTGGGTGAGTTTCTTCCTTGCAACCAGGAAAGTCTCAGTACATTTCCTCTAGCTTTAAAATTCACATTCACCATGAAGTAAGAATCAGGTGACCAGAGTTCTTATTCCGCTGCCTTTGGGGAATGAAAATTTCCCTCTGGGGGCATGAGTCCCTTACCTGTAAAGGGAAAAGTTAAATGGTCTATTGTACCTTTAAGGTACTATATGCTTTACTTATAATTCTAAATTAAAGATTATTTTATTAGCTAGAAGAGGATAAAGCTCTGATTCCATAAATAGGATTTACCCTGGAAACTAAGACTTATAAAATATAGTTCTTATCAAGCATTGCACTTCTATTAAGTGCACTTATGAGCATCTCATGAGCATAAGGTAGTAAGATATTCAGTCAGTTTAGCAAAGCAAAGACACAGTTTCTCCCAGTAATGTGGCATTAGAAAAGAAGCAACATGTTAAACACCAAATAGCATTGTTGGTGCATCTCTCAAAAAATTTACCACAGGATCTATCAATCCCAACAACTTATTAAAACTAGCAGAATTCAGAGAATCTATTCACGTTTATGTATACCTATTTGCAAAATAGTCCTTGTTTCCTGTTTGCTAATGGGCATTACTTCTGGTAGTAAGTAGATACTACATTGAATTATTACAGTTTTCTGGTTACTTAAAATTATTTTCTAACCTCTACTATGCACTGAAACATTCATTGTATCCAACAAACTTAACAGTGGTTATCTTTTATGTGCTTGGCATTGAGGATACAGTCTAGTGAGGGGAATGGATGCACAAGAACAAACAAGAATGCATGGGAGGAGGTGCAATGTTCAGAGTTTATGGAAACACAGAAGAGAGAAGCCCCTGATCCAGCCTGGAGTTGGGTGAGAGGTGGAAAAGGGATTCAAGGTGGAAAAGGGATTCGAGGCCAGAAGAGGTCAGAATGAGCATCAGGCATGTAGGAGACACTGCATGCAAAAATAAGGAAAGAAGAAAGAAGAAGATAAGCAATCCAGTAGCTGAGTTTGAAGGCAGAACATGGCAAGAGATGGGGCTGTAAGTGTATAGGTCAGGGTCAGATTCATGCTCAGGTACTTGTAATTCATCTTACAGGCCATAAGGTGAAAGTGAAAGATATTCTAAAAAAATATCTCCTTGAACAAACTGAGGGGTTATGGGAATGGGGGAGAGGGGAAGGGGAGTGATGGGCATAGAAGAGGGTACTTGTTGGGATGAGCACTGGGTGTTATGTGGAAACCAACTTGACAATAAACTATAAAAGAAATAAAAATATAAAAATAAAAAATAAAAAAACAACTCCTTGAGCGCTAATGCATAGGGAACATGTGCCCCAATGTTATAGCAGTACTTTCAACAATAGCCAAATTATGGAAAGAGCCTAAATATCCATCAACTGATGAATGGATAAAAAAGATGTGGTTTATATATACAATGGAATACTACTTGGCAATGAGAAAGAATGAAATCATGCCATTTGCAGCAACATGGATGGAACTGGAAAATATTATGCTGAGTGAAAGAATAAGTCAGTCAGAGAAGGACATGTTTTCACTCATATGCGGATCTTGAGAAACTAAACAAAAGACCATGGGGGAAAATAAGGGGAAAAAAGATACAAACAGAGAGGGAGGGAGGCAAACCACAGGAGATTCTTAAATACAGAGAACAAGCTGAGGGTGTATGGCAGGTGGGTGGGGGTGGGGACAATGGATGATGGGTATTGAGGAAGGCACTTGTGATAAGCACTGGGTGTTGTATGTAAGCCAATTTGACAATAAATCATATTAAAAATAGTTCCTTGGTTGTTTTTTCTCACTCTTAATATATTCCATGTTCATTGAAGACATTTTCAGGGATTTGATTTTATTGTATTTAGTTTTTAAATTTTTTAATGTTTATTCATATTTGAGAGAGAGAGACAGAGCATGAGCAGGGGAGGGGCAGAGAGATAAGGAGACACAGAATCCAAAACAGGTTCCAGGCTCTAGGCTGTCAGCACAGAGCCTAATGCGGGGCTTGAACTCAGGAATCGGGAGACCATGACCTAGGTCGAAGTCAGATGCTTAACCGACTGAGTCACCCAGGTACTTCTTTTTTATTTTATTTAATTAATTAATTAATTAATTTCATTTTATTTTAAAGTTTATTTTTGAAAGAGAGCTTGAGCACAAGTAGGGGAGGGGCAGAGAGAGAGGGAGAAATAATTCCAAGCAGACTGTGCTCTGTGAGCACCGAGCCTGAAGTGGAGTTCAAACTCACAAACAGTGAGATCATGACCTGAACCAAAATCAAGAGTTGGATGCTTAAATGACTGAGCCACACAAGAACCCCTATTTTATTTCTTTAAGTAGGCTCCATGCCCAGAGTGAAGCCCAACACAGGGCTTGAACTCATGACCCTGAGATCAAGATCTGAGCTGAGATCAAGAGTCAGATGCTCAACTGACTGAGCCACCCAGGCGCCCCATATTGAGGGATATTAAGGAGAAATTAGATATTAGCAGCTTAACATGTTCTCCCAACAATCTAATAATATGTCTAATAATCCTTGCACTGCTCCCAATCACATATTCACTGCAAACACATGAGCACTGAGGCTCCAACTCCTACCCTTTGGTTCCCAGTAAAAGCACCATCTCTCATCACAGCATAGATGGCCTGATGGCCCATGCACCTGTAAGTCTGAAAGACTTAATGCCCATCTATAAAATGAACTGCTGAATTGTAACTTGGCCAAATGGAAAGTATGACTTAAATTATCAAATGTTATGTGTTTAGTCCAGAATCTCTTGGTTGTTCATTCATTGTCGTTTTTAATCAAAACAAGTGATCCTGAAGAATTCAAGTGAGCAGCTAAATGCATCATAAGCAGAAAGAATAGATATGTTGGCAATGATAGGGAAGTTCTGATTTTCAGTCAGAGTTCAGAGTTAAATCCAGATTGCATCAGGGTAAGAATGGCTATTTGTTGTCCTCTACTGGGTAGCTAGGGGCTATGAGACTCTGATTATTATTGATGGAGATAACCACAAAAGTAGAACAAGATGAATTATGTTGCCATAGGCCTAGATGTGAGCTCTGGAAACTGAATTGCACTGTGTACTATTTGGCAATTCTATTATCTAGGATGAAGTCACTATCTAAATAAAAAGTTAAGAGGACACAGATTTTAATAATTTCTCTTTTCTCATAACACTGAAAGTTTAACATAGGCAAGACGATGACTTTGAAATTGGTACGTCATCCTAATTGCCAACTCAAGACACATGAGTCCAAAAACAAATGAGACCTAGAAGGCTTACTCTCACAACTTAGCATTTATTAAACTCACCAGCCACAGATGAACACTAAATGAAAAGGTTCAAACTCTTCTACCAATGCATAATACAAAAATGGTATTTCTAACTATCAACCATAGAACCAATTTCCTTGGAAAAAAAAAAAGCTTATAGCTTCATGATATTTGAGAAG